TAAGATTCCCATTACGGACCCTTTCCTATTCTATCATGTTTTAGATAGTCTTTCTAGCGAGTTCATTTAACTTAAAGTTGCTTATAATGCTCAACGGCATAAATGAGGTTTAAATGACCTTATTAGAAGATGTGCCGAAAGGAGTGTAGGACGCAACGTGAGATTGTTGATATTATGTAACTAGCCTTTTAGTTACCACAGAACAAGGGGTCTTCTCATAACCATAAGTCTAGGCTCCATAAGAATAATAAGTCACACCAAAATTAGTAGAATAAAAATTTTGGAAGTCAGACTTCTGGTGGTCCCAAGCAAACTATAAAGAAAAATGATCAATATAAGTTCTGCAAAAAGAAGTGTATTTGTCAGAAAGATTGTTTTAAGTTTAAGACTTGGCTAGAGAAGAAGAAGAGCTCTGCAGGTATCTCATTGGCCTTAGTTTGTTTTGAATCTTCCTTTGTAGATATGCTTTTGAATTCTTGATGGTTAGACTCGGGAGCAAGTATTCATATTGCAAATTTTTTGCAAGGGTTTACAAGCAAATGGAGGTCAAGTGAGAATGAAGTGAGCTTGTGGGTTGGAAATGAAGTTCAAGTGAAGGTTGAGTTCATAGGAGTGGTAAAGTTGTTTTTAGAGTCTAGTTTCTCTAATATTTTAGAGAATACATTTTGTACCGACAATGAGATGGAGTTTAATTTTTATATTGAAACTTGATGCTTCTGGGTTTTCCTTTAATTTTGGTAATGGAATGGTTGAGTTGTTTTATGATTATCCTTTGATTGGAAATGACCTTTAGTGTGATGGTTTATATAAATTGTCTTTGGCTCTTTTGGTAAAATCTATCGTTTTACCAATGTGTCAAAGAAAAGGTCTCTATCCATAAATCATCCTCTATGTTGAGGCATAAGCAGTTGAGTCACATTTCAAGGGACAGAATGGAAAGATTGGTAAAAAATTGAGATATTTTCCTCTATAGACTTCTCCAATTTTGATATATGTGTATATTGTCCAAGAGGAAAACTAATTAAGTCTACAAGGAAATGTTCTACTAGGAGTGATAGTATTTTGAACTTGATACATACTGATATTAATGAATCTTTATGTTCCACCATATATGGGAACAAAAATTTCATTACTTTTATCGATGATTTCTTATGTTATAGATATGTTTATCTGATTAATGATAAATCATATACACTTGAGAAATTCAAGATTTTCAAAATGAAAGTAGAGAAATAATGTAGAAAATATATCAAAATTATAAGATTTGACCGTTGTGGTGATTACTATGGCAAGTATGACGAATCTGGTCAAAATATGGGTGATTTTGCAAAATTTTTATAATGGTGTAAAATAGTACCTCAATACACCATGCTGGAAAGTAGAATGACATTTCTGAAAGACATAATCAAACTCTGAAAAATATGGTCAGGAGCATGATGAGTAGAACAAATTTGGCAGAATATCAGTAGGTTGAAAAATTGCTATGTATATTTTGAATAGAGTTCCAAGTAAAGCTGTTGCAAAGACACTTTTTGAATTATAGACGGGACGTAAGCTAAGTTTGGCCCATTTCAAAGTTTGGGGATATCTAGTTGAGATTAGAATCTATGATCCTTTTGAAAAGAAATTAGACCTAAAATTTACTTTAGGCTACTTTATTGGGTACTGGGACATATCAAAAGGATATAAATTCTACTGTCCAAATCATGACGCTAGAATTATTGGGTCCATTATTGATATATTTCTAGAGAATGATTTTGGTGATAGTGAGAGTTCTACATTGAAATTTTTTTTATTGAACCAAATCAAGTTGTTGTTCCAGTTCCTATTATATAGGAAATAGTTGGTTCTCAACCAGTTGAAATTGTTAATGATGAACCAAGGAACTAAGAGGAACTTTCGATTCTTCGTCCAACAACGATTGAGTCAGTTGTTGAGCCACAAGTTAGAAAATCACAAAGGGAAAGAAGGTCCGCATTACCAAATAATTACATTACGTATTTATTGGAGAGTGATTTTAATATTGGGCATATTATTGATCTTGTTACTTATAACAAGTCCTGAGTCGCATAAATGGATAAATGCTAAGGAAGATTAAATGAATTTTATGGAACAGAATAGAGTTTGGGAACTTGTTGAATTTCTTCTGATTGCTAAAGCTATAAATAACAAGTAGATCTTCAACAGCAATTTGAATTTGAAAGGGAAAGTTGAACGAGAGAAGGCAAGACTCGTTACAAAAGGGTTCACTCAACGAGAGGGCATTGATTATAATGACACTTTCTCACCTATTTCATCCAAAATACTTTTCAAATTATCATGACATTTGTGGTACACTATTATTTGGAACTTCATCAGATGAATGTTAAGACGGTCTTTCTGAATGGAGATCTTTTTGAAAAGGTTTTCATGAGACAACCTAAAAGTTAGTATTTGACAGTGGTATTTAAAGTTTGATGAGGCTGTAACTTCTCTTGATTTTGTTAAAATGCAGTTGATCAACATATTTATCTTATAATCAGTGGGAGAAATTTTATTTTTTTGTTCTGTATGTTGATGACATTTTGCTTGCTAGCAGTGACGGAGTTGCTTCATGAGACAAATAAAATGTTTTCTGCTAATTTTGAAATGAAAGTTCTTGGAGAAACTTCCTATGTGCTTGGCAATGAAATATATTGTAATAGAAATCGTGGCTTGTTGGGACTTTCTTAGAAAACTTATATACGACTTGTTCTAGAAAGATTCAATATAAAATACTGTATACCTGTGATGTACCTATCATAAAATGAGATAAGTTTAATAAAGCTCAATATCCAAAGAATGAGCTAGAAAGAGAATCTATGAAGATGATACCATATGTTAGTGCTTAAGTTTGCACTAAACCTGATATAGTCTATGCAGTTAGTGTTCTTAGTAGGTTTCAATCGAATCTAGGGCAAGAACATTGGAAAATATTTAAGAAAGTTATGAGATACCTGAAGAAAATTGAAAGTTACATACTTACTTTCCAACATTCAAATCACCCAGAGGTGGTAGGCTACTCATATTCTGATTTTGCTCGATATCAAGATGATTAGAAATTAACTTCAAGTTATATTTTCGCGTTAGCTAGTGTTGCTATTTTTTGGAAAAGTGTTAAGCAGACTCTAGTGCCATCTTCTACTATGCAGGCAGAATTTATTGCATGTTATGGAGCTACAGTCTAAATTGTTTGGCTAATAAATTTCATTTCTGGGTTGAAAGTTGTTGATTCCATCTCGCAACCAACCACTATTTATTATGATAATAGCCTAGCAGTGTTCTTTTCAAGGAATAATAAAAGTTCTAGCAGGTCAAAGCACATTAACATCAAATATTTGGTGGTTAGAGACAGTTAAGAAAGTGTAGACGAAAATAGAGTATATCAATATAGAAGTGATGATTACAGATCTTTTGACTAAGGGACTCGCTCCAAAAGTTTTTAAAACACATGTTGCTAATATGGATATTGTGGAAGCATTTGATGTTTTTGGTTAATGAGAGTTATGAATGTAGAAAAACTATGTTTTGGCTTGATCCCTTCACGGTGTATGTAGGTAACCCATATATTTTTTTGGGTACAACCCATTCCAATAATAAAATATATTTTTCCCTATCCAAAAAATATTTTGAGCATGTATTTGACTTATATCTTTTTATTATGATATTGTTATGATCTCACGATATAACGGATAAAGACATAAGATGAGTCTTTTTTAGAGCATGTAGCTTCATTTTGATTTGAAACATTATAATGGCCGATGTGAATTAACAAAATTTTTATCACATTTAGTGCTAAGTTCATACTATATACTACCACATTGGTTGGATGATGGGAATTCATGTCAATAAGGATGTTGATATTTATAGTTGTGGAGTGGTCTTATATCGTTTAAATGTTGTAAAGATTTTAATATTCGACGTCGACATTTTTGTTGGACCGGATCATGTTGTGTAAGGTATCATCATTGGAGGTATACTTGTGTGGCCACCTAGTTAGTCTAACCTGTAAGTCAAAAGTTTTGTTTTATTATAATAACAAATATTTGCCCAAGTGGAGAATGTTAGAATAATTCTAAAATATAGGCTTTTCATTTGATTGTAAATTTTATGGGTTAAATGTATGACTCATAATGATATTGTGATTAAGCCTAATATGCTAAGTGATTACCTGGGCCGTTTTATACCTTACATGTTATATTTTGGATAATGTGGTAATTTAAGTATGTGGGCCAAAAATCTAGGGACCCTAATTAGAATTTAAGTCATTAATGGGATGGCTTAATAAATTTCTATATAAAGGTTAGATTTTCTCCCCTCTCCATATTGTTTTTATTGACTTGTTCCATTGATGGCTAATATTTTTGATGAGTAAGGAAAGTAAGATCTAGCTGTTAATATTCATGTCCACGATGCCTTCTGCAAGTATGAATCTTAAACTATCAATTTAGAATTGTGATTCTTGTTTCTTAGAATGATTATCGTTAAATTCAACATATAACTTGTACAACAGAGTTTTTCAAAATTTCTTTTAATTGATTTTGTTGAAGTTTTGCAACAGGAGCTTCTCTGTTTGCCTCTAAATTCCTAAATGTTTAATTTGATTTTGTGAGTTTAAAAAGAAAAAAAAGGCTTAAAAGTTGGGGGGTCATATGACTCATCAGGACTTACTGTAGGTTTGCTAGTGTCCGTATGTTTATGATTCTTCACCTGGTATAGTTTTCAAACCTAATTGAATTGAACGTGCATTTTGTAACTCTAAATCTAGGGATTTTTAGTTATTAAAAAATTTAATGAAAAAACAAGTAAATAAGATATTAGCAATGCTATTTGGAACGACTGATTTTATCTTGGCATTAACTTGTTTTTTGAGGCAACAAAATTGCAGAAAATTTATGTTGGATATGTAATTATGAATAGCATATTACTCGATATGTATAACAAAATAAAATCCAGTACACGCCCCGATTTATCTGTTAAGCGGGCCGCAGTGGGCTTAATTCCTCGGACTTGACTGAACGAGACAGCGCCCCATAAACGCATCTAACACGTATCATAAAGAATTCAAGCACAACACCAAAAGCAGAAGCAGAGGTTCCTCGATTCTCTCTTTGCTCCGCTCCGCTTCCTGGTAATTCTCCTCTCATCTTTCGAAGTGCCTTTTTCTAACACTGCACAGACATGTTATTTGTGCTTGTGTTTTATTACACTCATAGTGGGAGGTTAACAAAATTATGTTGATACATAGAAACGAAATTGAATTGGGGCTTTTAGTTTGTATATGATTAAATGAATAATGAAGCAATCTTGGTAGGAGAATAAGAATGAAGTGAAATTGTCCAGTTCTCAATTCAGATGTAGATCTGATTCTGGTGGATAAGAATGTTTGAGGCTTGAATGTTAATTTGTATTTATTTATTGAGATTTATACGTTTTCTTCATCTTCTGGAGATTATGTTGGTTTTGCTTTAACTCTTTGCTGAGCTTTCATTTACTGAGGATACAATTATTTGGAGTTCCTATAATCGAGAATTTCCAATTCCTAGATCCAAAAGGTTACATATAAATTTTGTCATCAACTTTTGTTCATTGTATATTTGTGGGTTAGGCCTCTTGTTTTGTTTATACGAACACTGCTCTACCAGAGGTAGTCAATCCTATAGCTTTTGTGCATTTTGAATATATTTAATATATGCCATTTATGACCGTTTACTAGTTGCTTGAATTTTAGTATATCGAACCATCAGATGGTTTTTGGACTGAGCTTTGAGCTATAACTGAAATTAAGCATTATTAGCAATGTGGAATTTACATAAATACGTATTGTGGATGGCAATATAAGACCAGGTTTATTTCGTTTTCAATAAGTCCCATGGCCGCGGCAAAGTCTGATTGAGATTATTTCGTACTAATTTAATTTGAAATGTTGGACCCCAGACTTAAATTGTCGTCTTAAGAGTTCCATTTTTTTTTTATTTTTTATTTTTTGCTACTACATTCAACCTCATATTTTCTTTTATCAATATTGATCCAATCCTTCAAGAGTTATTTTTTCTTTTAACAGATTGGGAGTTTCAATTGAAGACTACAATAGGATTTCTGCAAGCATCAATCATTATGGAGTTTGTATCGTATGAAAATCTAAAAGGTAGATGCTACTTTGATAGTGGGATTGTTTCTGTTGCTACCTGCTATGAGCAAACTGAACTGGTTTTAAAACTTTTCAGTTTGTGAAAACCTTGTTCCTACATTGTTGTTCTTCCTTTAAGTGAATTTCTTTGAACTTTATTTCCTCTAGATAAGAACAGTGGAAGCACAGAGAAAGAGGTTGCAGAAGATGTTCAACCTCAGAACATGAGAGAGAACCTTATAGAACAGCCTGCTTCTTTTAAAGACATTCCAGAAGTTCATAAGTTTGATTTTTCCAATGAGCATGTTTCTACTGCATCTATAGATGCTTATGGAGATGTCAACATGGAGGCCTCTATAACAGCTGATGAAGTTACGAGGGCTGGAGGCTTTGGAGCTCGAGACGATATAAGTAGTTTTCTTCCAGTTGCAAGCGACTCCACTGATTTTGAGGCTTCACTTCGTGATGCTCGTGACTACGAAGATTTGCAGGAAGCAAGTGGTAGGCCTGGCCTTGGCTGGAAAGGTGATGCAAAGTGAATTTATTCCTGTTGCAACGTTACATTATGTTTTCTTCTGATATTTCTTGCTCCTTTAGACTTAGGGTCCTGTTCTTGATTGAATATGTGACTTTATTGTATAAGCGATGTTGTTAAGTTCAAGTGGCAATTCTGGGGTTCATTCTCCATTCTGAAATTCGCTGTAGCTTTTCATTTGTTCATCTAGAAATGACGCTTGATGTTCCCGTTCCTTTGTGGATGTTAATAAATGTCTTAAGTGCAACACTCTCATACAGTAAGGTTCTTGAAGTACCGAAAGCACAATTATGATGCTCTATTTCTGAGAAGTACAAAATTCTGTTATGTACATGTAAGAGGCTTTATGATATTTTATCTATGTGCCTCTAGAGCTGACATAGACCATAATTGTAAAAAAATAAATAAATAAATAAATAAAATAAAATAAAATTTGAGATTGAGAAAGAAAGAGTAAGAGAGAGGAGAAAGAGAGAAGGGGGAGAGAATAAAGAGAATTTGAGGGAGAAAATATTGTTTTATTCAATATTAAAATTTAACTATTACAATGCTTAAGCTCCCTTTATATAATGTTTCAACTAGTCCAATTTAAGTAGAAAATACTAGAAAGTCTTTTAAATTAAACCCTAATATTTCCTAAAATAAGTATCCAATTTATAAAATCAGAAAAACTGTATTAAATAAAACCCTAATTACGTTTCTTAAAATAACTATCTAATTTGAAAAATAAAGCACATAATATCTCTACTAGGATTCCCATCATATCTCCTAGTCTGAGAGTATTTGACTACGACAGGATAGAGTGCAAGGTCGATATTTTATTTTGAGTCTTTGACCATGTAGCGGTATTGAATTCCTGATAGCAACACATGATGTAACTCATACCAAGGTGGACAACTCCAGAAAGTAGCAAATGGTAAATTGATCTACAGTGGGTTAATTGATTCATATGATGAGGAGCACAAGGAATTGACACATCAGATTGGCTCGCAGAAACAAATGATTGCAATATTGGTGGGTCAAATGTGCTAAGATAAGGACATAATTTTACTATTGATAACATAAATTTCGTTTAAGTGTGGTGGAAAGTTAAATACATTATTTTAGTGTGAGTTATTCCGATAATTTTTAATGTTTTAGGAAATCGGGTCAAAGAAATACATAATAAAGAATAAAATCATCAATAAAGTATTTGAGCCTATATTGCGCATCAATAGCAAGCTTGTAAGTTTCATGAAGAAAAATGTTTTTCGTTTAATCACATTATGAAAATTAGAAATATTGACTACAAAGTTTGAAGTTGAAACATTATGACTGTAATTAGTTTGTAACAATGAATATTGATAGGAAAAGTATGCAAAAGAATAATTGCTTTAGAAAAAAAAGTGGCAATATCGTTCAATTGAGGTAACACCGTAACAAAATCAATGTTAATTCACGCAAACGAGTAGGCAATAATTATTTTGGCACGAAGTCAAGGACATGTGAAATATATGGCTTCGGTGGCAATGCCATAGGTGGTAATTCTCCAATTATGTCTTTAATTTATCGACTACAAGTGTCAACATGAAAGGGGACACAACACGATGCTCAAGACCTCACGCTCGGCAAACTACTTGTCTTCATCCATGATGTGGTGCAGAAGCGATTGTGAAATTATTGTAATAAGAATTATATAATAAACTAAGAAGGATATTGGAATAAACTAAGAATGATTAGGCAATATTATTCTCTAATCCTATTAATATAAGGAAACTAAAGTAAGGAAGCTAATTCAAAAGGAAATAAACTAAAATCCTAATTAAATAAAAGATAAAATCTATTTCAACTAGAAAAGGAAACTATAAAAGATAAAATATAGCTAGAAGAAATAAGTCACTATTATATTAGGAAACTAATTGTAGTTGTGATGTACTACATTAATCCCCTCTACTTGAATAAAGCTCGTCCTTGAGTTTTCTTGAAAAAAAATCAATCAAATGGGAGGAAAATCAAAATTTTTTGTCAACACTAATATTGAAAAAATTTTAATTTCTTGATGTGCTCAATAAATGTGGTTATATTCTTTGAAGTCAATTTTGTTCTTACCATGCTCATTATATTTTCTTCACGGACAATTCATACGTAACATTCCTTCATTAACAAAGCACAATTTGATTTCTTTTCCTTTACTCCTCTCTTATGAATCTGTAATGGCATGAGTTCCCGAAGGTCATGATTTGTGTGCTTTGCGCTCAGCCCTCGAGCCTTGGTCCCACCAAGTTGCTGTTGGTAATAACGACGAGCTGGTGTCTCTCCACCAGGCTTGGGTCAAAGTTTGGTTGTAGTCTAGGGTGCGGGTTGATGTTCGCTGCAACCCTAGAGTTCCTCTTGTCCAAGTCAGTCTCCTTCGTCATTGTTGGAATCTAGGTTGTTTTCTTTCTACCAATTATCTTACTTGCTCGATTTTTCTTCCATGGGCTCACTATTCTTCTCAATAGTCAACGTAGTTAGCATTTGCATGATATTGCGAAGAGTCTCATCGACCCCTTTCTAGTCGCTGTTCATTTTTTTCAAACCTCCGTTTATTGTCGGCAGTTTGCCTGCCACCAGACTATCGTTAGCTATCAAATTGAGGTAATATCCTTTCTCTGATACCAATTTGATGCTAAAGCGTATGTGAAATTCTTGTAACAAAAATTGCGTAATAATCTAAGAAGGATATTGGAATAACTTGCTTGTATGTTATTGAATAATGATGTTATAAATGAAGTGTGCAATGACTTTTTATTTATAGGCAAAATTATTCCCTAATCCTATTAATATAAGGAAACTAAATTCTAAAGGGAAATAAACTAAAATCCTAATCAAATAAAAGATAAAACATATTTCAAATAGAAAAGATTAAGAGCCTGTTTGGTTTGGATTAAAATTCGATTTTAATCTAAGTTAAAGTCAAATAATTAATATTAACCACATCTTTCATGGGTCCTACAACTTTTTAATCACACAATTCAAAAACTTTTATCACAATTTATTAAAAAATCTAATTATAATCCCCACCAAACACTCCCTAACTACAACAAAAAAAGATAAATCACTATTGTAGTAGAAAACTACTCGTTGTAGATGCGATGTAATACATCAATGCTGCTATTCCACTCAGCAGTGTCATTAGCCCTTTTGCAAAGGGAGGAGACCACCTCACTATAATCATAGATATAATTTAAATATTTTATAGATTGTGTCAAGTAAGGTTTGATCCTGATAGCGCACTTTTTAAAAAGTCTCTACCAAAGGCATTGCAAAAGGAAAAACTTCATTCTTGTTCTTTTTCATACTATACAAAAAGAGGGCAAGCAATTCTAAAGAGAGATTGTTGGTTCCTTCCAATAGAAGAGTCATAATTATCTCCATGGATGTGAAGATATTTTCTATATGATTTTTCGATTAGAGTGTGTTTGATTGACATGGAAAATATCACCTCGAAAATAAGATGCTTTCCTTGTTTTGAGGAAAACAAAAACCTATTTTGTTTTGAGGAAAACAAAAACCTACTCTCCCCTAATAGAATATATTTTCCTTAAAAACAAGTAAAACTAGGCATATTTTCAAAAGTTGGACAATATTTTCAATGGAAAAAAATAGCAACCAAACATCCAAAGTAGGAATTTGGGTAGAAAACTGATATTTTCCATGGAAAATATATGCAATCAACCCTTAAGGCTATAAGAAAATGTTGGAACATGGAAGACTGGAAGTTATGAGTAGTTCATTCTAGATTCAACATGATAACACAACTCTTAACATTAGTCAAGTTTCAAGTATCCTAGCTCCCTAAGCATACAATTTGGATACAATTAATGGAAATATATTCTTTCCTTGTCTCATCGTCATACGGAGCATCGGGTGCATTAATATGGAATATTTCACTTAGGCAAGAAGCAATTGCAACTTGTAAATCAACATGTGCATATTTTAATGGTTCATATTAGTGGAGAGAAATGTGAGCATGGAAATAACAGGTGATTAGTCCACTTGTGAGAGTAAATTTTCAATTTGTTCATATACAGGCAGGAGGTCATTAAGAGACTACAAATTGAAGAAACTGTATTCCAGTTTCATTAATTTTTCCCAACTTTTTGTAGGCACACCACTACATTTATGGGACTAACTTATTCAAAGTGATTTGAATAGCACAATTTTTGCATGTTTCTTTTTTCTTTTTATTTATTATTAATTTTAGAATAAGATACCAAGCACCTATATGAAAATTAAAGTTCAGGTGGAACAAAATTGATACTTGACCAAAAATCAAATTGAAGCAGCAACCCAACGTTTGAATCATTGATAAGCATATGCATTCTACTAGAATAAGATAAGAAGCCCTCGAAAAATCAAGGGCAACAAGCTACTTAAAAGGTTCGGCCGAGCTGAATATTGGAGAGTTCATCCTACCACAAACCCTATAGATATAAAAGATGGGCTGTCAAGAACATAGAGGAGGTGGATGGCAGTTGATGAGATTTCGTTTGAATCACACATGGACTGTAACAAAATACCTTTCAGGGTTTTGAAAGCACTAGCTAAGGCAGAGAAAGAATATTTTGTTCTATTTGTTGGTAACTCTTTGATGCAGTCTAAGCCTGCAACTAAAATAAGGGGTCGAGTTTTGTTATCCTTAATTATTTTCCTACAATTGAAGTCATTAGAGGGCGTTTAATCTATAATTATGTATTAGGGCCTTTAATTTTTGTCATTATCTTTCAATTTCATTATTATCTTTTAATTTTAATCATTGCTTTAAATAAGCCTTAATGGCACTTGGTTGGGTTTTTTTTTTTTTTTTTTTTTTTTAATTTAAAAAAATTGGTTGGTTTTTTTTTTTTTTTTTTTTTTTAAATTGAAATAAAACTTTAATTGTTGTTGTTCAATCCAAATTAGTTTTCGTGCTTGAATCAATAATTTGTTGATCAAATTGAATATTCGGTATTCTTTTTAAAAGAATTAACGAATATTTCATGGCATTCCTTGTGAACCAGCATATTTTGAGGCTAGTTCTCGTGTTCATCTCTTATTTATCGCTTTTGCCTATATTAGTTGGTATTAGAGTTAGATTTGTTCATGATAGAGATGAGTTCTTATGCATGAAATTCAATGTCAGAAGTTTTGTTTCAAGACGAAACCCTTTTTACTCCTTTCAATTAGTCAAATGTGGAAGAATATTTAAATTTCGGTTACAATGGTCCCACAATCTTCAGCGAAGATATTGAAGAATTTGTGGATTTGAATAATGACAGTTATGATGGTCCACCAATTTTCAATGAGGAAACTGACTTCGAATTTTTCAAGATACATAATAGAAATTCCTAGCCAGTTCTCTGTGCATTCAATTACCAACAATCAATTATGGAACTTCAAGAATTGACTATTGCTCATTGCTGGAAATAATCTTGATTTAAGGTTGTACAAAGCTGCTTTAGAAATGATTCTTATTGGAATTTTGCAAAATATTAGCAGCAATTTCAAGAAAGCTTCTCATGAGAGCAGGAGTCCTCTGTGCATCATTTTGGGAATGTTTAAACTCCATTGCCATCAAATTCATAGTTTAGTTTGTCCCGTGTTCCCTAATAGAAATATGATGCAACTAGAGCAGAAAATCCTTTGATTTCATTTTTTGGATGCTAAATAATTTGGATGAAAAAATGGATGGATGATACTTTAATTTTGTTTCCATTACAAGATAATGAAGTCGACCTAAGAACATAGTGCAAGATTCGAGGGTGGATCTTTTCCAATAGGAGGAGAATGATGCCATTCGACCCTACAACTAAAATGAGGAAGCTGAGCTTTGTTATCATTTAGAGCCTGTTTGAGCCTCATTTTTTGTCCAACATGCATTTTGGAATAGTATTTTGATGGAGAATGATGCTATTCGACCCTACAACTAAAATGAGGAAGCTGAGCCTTGTTATCATTTAGAGCCTGTTTGAGCCTCATTTTTTGTCCAACATGCATTTTGGAATAGTATTTTGATGGAAAATGTGTGATTAAAAAATAAGGAAAATTTTTGATTTTGCGTGTAATATTATTTTATTGAAGAATGTGTGGTTGAAAATAAGAGAAAAAATGTATTTTGAAAATAATGGGGACTAAACAAAGTTTTAATAATTTTCTTGTACTTTAGTTCATTCGGTGTGTTTAGCCTTTAATTGTTGATACTCCAATCTCAGTCTAAATTAGTATTCGTGCATGAATCAATAATTTGTTGATCAAATCGAATATTCTGTATTCTTTCAAAGAATCAATGAATATTTCACGGTATTCTTTGTGAATCAATGCATTTTTTAACTTGTTCTTGTGTTCGTCTTTTATTCATGACTGTTGCCTACATCACTCTTGAACTTGAACACCTGTCGAAGGAAAATGATTTGCTCCGATACCAGATTGACGTAGAACACAATCGAACAAGACCGAGATTAAGGAAAAAAGAGGAAGAGAAAGGAGAAAGTGAAAAATGAGAGAATGGAGAATTTAGAGGGAGAAAATATTAGTTTATTCAATATCAAAGTCCACCTATTAAAGTGTATAAGCTCCCTTCATATATAGTTTATCTAGTCTAATTTAATTAGGAAAATATTAGAAAATCAATTAAAACCTTGATTATGATTGTTAAAATAAGTATTCAAGTTGAAAAGTAAACAACTGATAAAACACTAGAAGATTTATTAAATAAAACCATGATTACATTTCGTAAAATAAGTATCTAACTTGGAAAGTAAATTATATAATATCTTTACTAGGATTCCCATCAAGACCTTTATCCACTGAGCTGTTTAATTTAAGGTCTTCGTTGTCCAAATGCCTTCGCTTCTGGAAGATTCTTTGTCCAGGAGCTAGGATTGCCAGAGGGTCGTAGATGGATTTCCTTTTAGAGAAAACTTCCCAGAAAGTTCCAAAGTGAGCTTTCCACTCCTCCTGTGTTCTATAGTGAGGCAAATATTGTTTGATCCCAAGATTAGATCTTCCACAAAAGTTAAGAATTCTTTGGTGTTGAGTTAAAATATGTTCTAAGCCATCTTTTCCTGTGGAAGATGGTATTGCTGAAGACAAGAATGCAATTAGGTAGAAAACATTCTCCGCAGGCGTAACCATAGATGTTCCATTTTTCCACCTGTGAGAAAAGTGATTCAAAATCAGATTGCAAACTGATAGAGGAAACAAGTCAATTTCCTACTACCACAAATTAATACCTTGATTTGTTGACTGGATAGATCAAGACAGGACCATTGCTGGTATCTGAAAGAATGTTGCCAAAAACTTCCTTGGCAAACAGATGAACACTACTTCTTGGAATAAGAAGATTTAGCCAAGGGTGTGGCACTTCCCATAGCCCCTTTTCCTGAAGTTTTAATTCAGAGACATGTACTCTATCCAGGAAATCCACATAGGAGACTTCTGATAAGAAGAGAGTGGATTGAATGTAATTTAAATCTGATAGTAGATTATCAATGTCCTGCATACGAGGAAGCAGTGATGAATATGTGAATAACCTTCCTAAATTGAAGTATCTTCTTTGTATCCGTCCAATAGGATGAAGTGGAGTAAAATGTCTCACCTTATCAATGTGATCAGATTCTTCTAGGTTGAAATATTTTGCAACTTCTAGGCAAAACAGGACCCTACCTTCTGAAGTGAACTGGTTGGCTTGAATGGGGTCTTTGGAACTGAAAGAAGACCTCCAATTGTCTAATAAACCTGTCCTATTTATAATGACAAACCCTTCTATGTAGTTGAAAGAATTTTCAGATGCTATTAAACGCTCTTGGTCTTTGGAAAATATGGTGAAGTCTGAGTAAAGTGCTCGGATCCATTTAACCTGTGAGAAGACATTTCTTGGATTACAAAAATAATCATCCCTGTTGTAACTTTAATCCTATCTATAAGCAAGTGCAAATCTAGTGACCTTTTTGGGTGCTGGTTCTAGAGCAATTCTAGCCCGGGTGATGATACCAAATTGTCCTAAACCTCCAAGTACAGCATGGAAGAGGTCTGAGTGCTGCTCTTCCGAACATATTACCACTTCTCCTGTGCCTGAAAAATGAATAGGATTAGTGTCCTCAGCATTTTGATTGTCATATACAACATTAAGGCATGGCTTTGTAATAGACAAAAGCAACTCATGCTCCTCATTTCAAAGCGACAGTCCTTTCCAAATTAGTACAAGCACTTCATAACTTGAGTGAGAAAATCATGTGCCATTACTGAATAGAACAGGGAGAAGGGTGGTTGAGCTGTCCGAGTTTATCACAAAACAACATTTCTTTACTAGTGTGCAAGAAAAATGAAAAACCAGGGGTTTTCTCCCTAATTATACGATCTTCTGACAGACAGACTAATTCTGTATGAGAACTTACTACTGACCTGTGACAACCTGTAGTTGGTAGACATTATCTATCTGAGGTCCATGCTCGAATGCTTGCCCACTGATTCCGGCATTAGATAAGGTGCCCCCAACTGTAAGATGAAGATAGTCAGTCCAGGATTTTGGTGCTAAGCCATGTTTAAGGCTTTTATGCAGAATATTTATCCATAGTTCGCCAGCAGAAACATCAACATAGGGCATTATTCCGGTGTGAAAACTCATTTCTGGCTCCCGAAGTGATTCCATATTGATAACCACACCTCTGTGTGCTTGTGCTTGGCCTTCAAGGGAGTGGCCATGACCTCTAGCAACAACTGTAAGTTCTGTGGTTTCACCCATTTGAAAAATATTTTTTACGACAGAGGAGATATCAGAAACTGATTTTGGATATAAAACTGCTGATGGCATGAAATGGTATCTACCTCCAAAGTCCTTAGCCGTATGTTCGGTATTTTCAAAGCTTAGATGCCCATCAAATATCATCTCTGCCAATGATGAATGTGCAGTCGCAAAATGTACACTAGGAGACTTTACTGGGGTAAAAAAAGGGTGGTTGGAGCAGAGATTTTTTCTGTTGATTGTAAAGCTAACAAGGAAAACTGTTAGAATTCTTAAGGCTATTGTATTCTGTTTGAAGTTAATCATCTTTTATGTGATGGTAGAGAGAAAGGAAAGGAGCAGTTTACCCTTTTTTGTTTCCTGTACTCCTCTGTGTGAATAAATCAAATAGAAAGTAGTAGAATTGCCTAAAAATGAATGATAGAGATGAGTATATAAAGAGAAGGATGTGGTAGAATCGTCAACAGACATTCATTGTGCAAGTGCTGATGATTATCTATCGTTTACTATAGGGTTTTTTTCAAGATTTTTCTTTGCTCATCCTTCTACTTTCTGAGAAATGATATAAGAAAGAAAGAGATTTCACATAATCCTTGTAGCTTTCAACAGTTTCAGCCACCTTTTTGTCTTTCTCACTATCCATTGAGTTTTTATATTAGTTTGAGCAATTATGCTCACATTTGGAGAAGTTGATGACTTCATTTTCTGGCTGAAGACAATTCTGGATGTTGTGTTACTTGTGTACATGCATTGTTGTCAGTTGTGTATGATATATTATAACTTTTTTTCTTGTCATAGGGCCCCGCTAAATCCCATAAGAACTGATTAGAAGAGGGAGGCGTATAGCATAACTAACATATATCTAGAAATGAAAGGTCTGAAATGGAAAAAATAAAAATAAAAAAGATTAATTGCTGACTCTTAATTTATCGAGAACAAGAATTAGTTGTTGCGATCCCCACTAAATAACTAATTAATAGTATGAATCACCTATCAATTTCTTTGTGTTAACTTATTGGTCTCGTGACTATTTTTCGGGGAAAAAAACCTGAAAACTTATTAATAGCATCAAATGGCTCCACATGTGAGAATGTGTATTTTTTTATTAGTTCATTTATTTATTTTTGCATTTGCTATATACTATTGTCATATTCTACATAAAGCAATTTGGTTTCTGTTTGGAGGGTGAAAAAAAATCTTTATGGGGAGGCCCCTACTGGATACCATGCTTTTAGAGTGTCATCAGTGAATTAGAAAGTTTGTTGTTTTAGCACTTCTACTTATTCTAACATAATCTGCCTAACATTTGTTCTTTTCCTTGGTTTTTTCTTCAAAATAACTGCAATTTCTTCTGCAATGGGTTCTTATCCCACAAAAAAAAAAAAAAAATAATAATAATAATAATAAAAATAAATCTTCTGCAGTGGGTTACACAGCCAAAGACCATTTTATAACTATTTTATTCTCTCAGTTGGGTTAAACTCAGAATATAGAAGGGATTGAGAAGAAATATGGTGGTGGTAAAACCGTATCAGACATTTTACAGCATGCATGTTTTGCTGTGAATTCTATGTTATGTTTGGAAGAAAAAAACTCTATCAGACATTTTACTGCATGCATGTTATGCTGTGAATTCTATGTTATGTTCGGAAGAACCATACCATGCAGACTATTGCCTGTGGACGGATAAATTATCTGTCTTATTTTTTTATCATTTTGTATATATTTGAGTACCAATGAATGGCCTATAAGAACTCTTCCAAGGAAGTGAGGTCATTGTGTCCTGCTTAGAATATTTTGGGCATAGGTATAATATGATGGTCCCAGCTACTTTTGACAATCTAGTTGTTTTAGATCTTTCAATAAATCATGAAAGTAGTGAAGTTATGTATTTATTATGATCAATCAACGTGTTTTCATTTATCATACCATAGTTTCATGGAGAAGGAATGAAGACATGGTGTCTCTCCTGCAAGTTAGAAGAAATGACTTGAATTTAAAGCCATTGTGATCCAGAGTGCCTCTAGTTCTGTTTTTATGGTTCATGTAGGGGCATGGGGCACTTGTTCACTTGTATATGGCACAGAAACAAATTTGAAAGTGGACAGTTTGAATGGGTGAAACACTAAAAAGGTATCAATTTAGTCATGGATCCCAACATTGGGACAATTCTAATTGATTCTCCAATTAAATATACTATTTGTTTGTTGCTTTCTTTGCCAATCAAAGTACTGTCTGTTCCTCTAATCATTCCTCCATTTATTTGGGTTTAATGCACTATCCAAGCATTCAATACAGATGTTTTCATTACATTATTTTTGGTACAATTGGAGTAAACTCTTACTAAATGTATCTCTTATCTTCTTAAATCATGTGCGACATAGTGCGTTAAAAAAATAAAAAAAGAAGCATTTCACCTCTTTTTTTTATGGCACAATTATGCTGTTTATGCAATGTTTTGCAATGGGAAACTTGCAACATTATTGTATGCGATGATGTTACAATGATGTGATGAAGTTGATGTCTTATCGTGTGGTTGAGATTATGATGATCAATGAGATTCCTCATTCTTGTACTGTTTCCCATTTGAGGAGAGTACAATACCATCTCCACATCTCCAAGAAAAAGTCTTATTGTAGACACTGATCATAATTTGTACTGCACCATATCTCCAGAGGAGATAATACTGTTGGCATTTTTCTACAAAAGTAGTTAATGCATGCATCACATTCATAGACTATGATTCAAATTTCAATTGTTGAATGGAATTCTTTTATGCAGGAGTGGAATTGAATTATTAAAAGTTTTGAGATGATGTTAACGCAATTCTAGACGAGTTGCGTGAGCAATTTTGAGCTTCATTCAATTCCACGTACTGAACATGTCAACACCTATGTTTACTTATAGATCACTCTTGATATTATTTTGACCTTGTGTTGTACCATTCCTTTAGTTATTCTGTTTTTTGCTCATGTATTCAATTCCTAGGGGGGCTACCTCTTCAAGTGTCAAGAACAATGTCACAGTTGTGTGCCAAATATGCATGTTATTGGAAGCTAGTGGTAGATAAATGGTTGGCCTTTGTCAATGTCTTTTACTTATATTAGAAAGTTTCCACTTATCAATGACACTCCTTTCAAGTTTATTGGTACCATTTTTGGAAAAAGTAATGCCAATAATTCCACATCTTAGATTATTTCGCTTGGTTCATAATTTCTTACAAGAAATGGAACATGTGAAAGTTGAAAGCATTTGTCAATACACAAAATTTTATTTTATTTTATTATTATTATTATTTTATTTGGATTCCTTGTTTCAGATGATTGTATGTTTGAATTTTATCAAATACAAATATCTATCCTATCCACTATGCTTCTTGTTAGTGGCTTCAACATTATTTATGCTGAACCTTGCGCCATTATTAGCCTCTTTTGTTTTTTGGTGGGTTATGAGATAACATTATATGATCAAATTTAATAATAAGAATCAAAATTTAACTTAGCTCCTTTATGGCACGTAATCTTTAAAATTCATTTTCATTTTTAATCTTTTTTTTAAAAAAATAATAATTTTCCACGTTGATTAATAATTTTTTTACTTTTTAATTATATATCCTTAAAAAAAATCACTTTTCAAAAAATTTACATTAAACTTTCTTATATAGAAATGTAATGTAGTGAGGTCCTATCCATTCGACATTTTCTTTTATTTTCTTTCTTAAACTAAAAATGTAAGCGATCATGTCCATACATGTTACTCTATAGTTTCTGTCTGTTTGGTATGAATTAAAATTTAAAATTTTTAATTTAAATTAAAGTTAACAATTAATGTTAATTAAATATTTGATAGGATTCACAACTTTTCAACTATATATATACTAAAAAAATTATTTTAATCCCCAATAAAAATGAGCATATTTCGATTTAACTTGTCATGGAAAATTTAAACAATATTTAGCTAAGAACACTTGCACAACAATCCCTCCAAAAAAAAAAAAAAAATTAATAATAATAAATAAATAAATAAATTAAAAAAATTATAATAATTATTGCACTTGATTCACAATGTCAAATATGTGGCTGTGATATAGTGAACATAATTTGAAGGTTTTGATTAGAGAATTGAAATCTATAAAATAAATATACGGAGTTAGCTCAACTATGATTAAAGAAATATAAGAGTGCTTACCCTACAAGTTAATTTTTATTTCCCTTATATGTTATTTACCAATATTTAATCAATGCTAAATTTTACTCTTAATATGCTTCGTAAAATTGTGGATCGTTTGAATATAGTAATTTGGAAACTCAAGATTTAATTTTTATCTTAAAAATTAATATTATTAAGAAGAGTAGCCAAAATTTTCTGTTTCTCATTTATTATTTTGATATTTTATTTGTGTTGAATTTTACTTGGCACAAAAAAATTATAAAGTAGTATGCATGAGAGAGAGAGAGAGAGAGAGAGAGAGAGAGAGAGAGAGTAGAAACATTATTTATAAGAAATTTGCATTTTTCTTCCTCAATCTTTGGGGAGAGTAACAGATTTATCCTCAATTTTTCTAACATAATCCAGCCTTTTCTTCATTTTGATTATTAAACTACAAATGTACCCTTCTCCTTAAATAAATAAACGAAACGAAACAAAACAAAACAAAACAAAACAAAAATATAAAAAAATTGCAAAGTTAATAACTTTTCAAAAAGTAGAAATAAACACAGCTTAAAACAATTAAGTATAATATTTACACATGAAATAAAGAATTGATAAGAAAATCATTTTTCCTAACCAAGATCACCACGCATCTCTATCAAAGGCCACGCACACCAACCTATCCCTCCTAATCCACTCCATCCGTGGTCAAACACCAACTTGATATAATAAATAATGAATTGACCTTTTAATTTATTTGAGGGTACTGAAAATTTAATTAAATTAGTCATGAAAACTAAATCAAGAAATTATTTATTTTGTGTAAATCTTTTAGGTCACAATTCATCATAAAAGATGTTTAGATTCAGACATTTTTTGTTAAGCTCCATCCTTCTCATAATCCTCAGCTAACATCTTAACTATGGGAACATTAATAAAGTTTTGCTTGACAAATATGGACATTGCGAGCCGATCATTTAGCCTATAGTGATATGTACACTTCTATACATTTTTACTACAAATAGAGAAAAAATGATTAATAAGAACCACTAGTCTAAAGGTGGTATTTGACCATAGATGGGTTAGGATTATGGTGCGTGGGTGGGTGAGCTTGGTTGGGAAAAGATAATTTAATTTTTTTTAATGTATCTAATTATTTTAAGTAAGATTTATTTGTATTTTTTGAAAATTTATGAGACTCGATTTGCAATTTTTTAATTTTTTTTTTGTGTTACTGCTTTTTTGTATTTTTGTTTATTTAAAGAGAATGGCAAATTTGTTATTTAATGATCAAAGTAGAGAGAATGACGAGTTTTGCTACATTTGAAAATTGTGGATGAATTATGTTAAAAAAAAGTAGTGGGTAGATTTTTACATTCTGCAAAGATTGAGGACAAAAATTGCAATGATCTTTATTAATAATTACATTTTTGTTTCTCAATATGCTTACATCATGTACTATTAATGTCTGTTTGTCTTTAGGAGACTTCTAATTTTTATGTTCTTATGTGGTCAACATTTTGTGCTTATTTCTTACCTATAATCTATATATTAAATATCACATCAAATGAAAATTATTTTTTTAAACGATTTTAATCATACTATAATTCAATTATTTAACTAATACATTATTTTTCATTTTTCAATATGTAATATATACTACAAAATCTTTCTTATGTATAAATTTCGTATTTTTAATTCTCAACTAATTAAAATTCATATTAATCTAGATTTAATAAATCTTGATTTACATGATTTTAGAGTTATTATATATGAATTTATTTTCTATTCATGCATCTAGGAATTTTAATGGATATTTAAATTCATGTATTACCAGTTAATTCTTATGTACCAAATGTAGTATAAAAATATTGCTCATTTGTAGTTGGAGCTGTCAATGAATTGAATTCTGATCCAAATTCGACGAAATTAATGGGAGAAGGATTCAGGATCTCAATCTAATAACCTAATCAAGATTCGAATTTGATAATCCCATTAACTAAATAAAGCAAATATAGATATAGTTCAATCTAATTGAATAACAATACGATCCGATTTTTTAAAATAATAATTTATATATTGCATAATTTTCTTTTCGTTTTGAACCTTGTAAATATAATAAATAATATTAGATAATAGTATAATATTGTTAATTGAAATAACTAAGGAGTGTTTAATTTTATTAACTA